CAAACCACGATTTCCAGCACTGGACCCTTAAAGTAAGGATTTATTTACAATACATGTGTCAAACAGGTTAAGGAATAAAAAATTACTCCTCAGTTTGTATGACAGATATCAGACTAACGGACTAAAGAAAACAAGAACCCAACTGCAGATTTTTTCTTTAAATCACTGGTAGTGCTGCTCAACAGAGATTCTTATGTTCTAACAATTACATGTTTAGAGAAGGTTACAAACCAAGACTTCCATAAGAATTTAAATAGATTTTTTACTTTTACTGCCATAAATTTACCATAGTACTGGTTTTCAAGCTGGTAGCAAAGGGTAAGATACAGGAATTTGTTCTATTTTACATTTGGAGAGGATGATTCAACAATTCAATGAAGCAATGACTGGCCTATTCCCAAGGCACGCACACAGACCGGCTATGTGTCAGAAAGATCAGATTAAATATTACACAAATGCCACTCCACCCTCAAATATAATCACAGACTCTAACCCTTTTCATCATGAAAGCAGACTGTAGAAGGTTAAGGTTAAAGAATGACTAGAGACAAGAAACTGAGCTCTAGAGAGGCTGTCAAAAGGCTATTAAGGAAAGTTAGAACTTGAACTCCCCACTTCCAACCTGTAGCTTACAAACCACAGGTTTCACCACAAAACAATTTAAAAAAATAATGTTTCCTTTTTCTTTTCTTCCACTGGTGCACCAAGTATTTATTAGGCAGGGGTTCACATGCTATTACCTATTTTTTTATAGCCCATGAAAAAAACAGACTTCTTTTTTAAGACAGAGTGTTACTCTGTCGCTCAGGCTGGAGTGCAGTGGGGTGATCTCGGCTCACTGCAACCACTGCCTTCCGGGTTCAAGTGATTTCTGGCTTTTTTTTGTTTTTTCCCTGAGATGGAATCTCGCACTGTCGCCCAGGCTGGAGGCAGTGGCATGATCTTGGCTCACTGCATCCTCTGTCTCCTGGCTTCAAGCAATTCTACTGCCTCTGCTTCCTGAGTAGCTGGGATTACAGGTGCCTGTCACCACGCCCGGCTAATTCTTTGCATTTTTAGTAAAGACGGGGTTTTACTATGTTGGCCAGGTGGTCTTGAACACCTCACCTCATGATCCACCTGCCTCGGCCTCCCAAAGTGCCGGGATTATTACAGACGTGAGCCACCGCACCCAGCCTATTTTATTTTTATGTGTATATATATATATATATATATATACACACACACACACACACACACATACACACACACACATATACATACATATATATACATACATATATATATATATATATATATATATATATATATATATATATTTTTTTTTTTTTTAAAGTAGAGACAGGGTTTCACCATGTCAGCCAGACTGGTCTCGAACTCCTGACCTCAAGTGATCCATCTGCCTCAGCATCCCAAAGTGACAGAATTACAGGCATGAGCCACTGCACCCAGCCAAGATTTTACATTTTTTTTAATGACTGGAAATATAATTCAAAACAGTATTTCATGACAAGTGACTTTCGCATGAAATTCAAATTTCAGTGTCCATAATAAAGTTATATTGAAGCACAGTGACACTCCTTCGTTTACGTGCTATCTATGGCTGCTTTCACACTCACAGCAAAGCTTACTATTGTGACAGGGATCGTATGTCACACAAAGCATTTACCAAAGTCTGTCTTTTACAAAATGTTTGCAGACCTCTGCTGTCTTTCCCCATCCAGTGAAAACCTACATGAATATAGTATACGAAGAGTTAAATGGGAAAAATTAAAGTGTATGTCTATGTTTTATCCTTTCAATTCACAGCAAGTAGGGCAAGTTTGTCAGTGCACCAAGGAGAAGAGTTAGTCAGATTTCACATCCTTGTAAGAATGCTGTGAACACAAAAACTTCCTGTATTTAGACCTGAAAATTCCCAAGAACTGAAAATCCCACTAACATATACTTTCCCCAACTCTACAAGGTGGAAGCAGACACAAAGCATAGGTAATAATAACTCCCAGGCAGAGACAAATTACATGGTTCTCTGGCTTCTTACAGCATCTCCACCAATCACAGAGCCCAGGTGAAGAGACAAGGAGGAATTACCCTGTGGTATAAGTCCTAGGTTAGAAATCAAACATCAAACTCTTCCAGCTGCCTTTGGCCTTTAGCTAGTCATATGATTCTCCAAGGGTCTATTCTTTTATCTGTAAAATGAGGTATGCCGACCAACCAGAGGAATATTCACTCTCTCATGTCTTAAAACTAGAGGAAAAGATGAGAAGAGGAAAGAGACTGGGAGAGGAGACCTCTTCTCTTCTTTAAGTCACGTTTTGTTTTCTTCTTTATAGCAGACAAGACACCATTAGAATAGAGATATCCCTCATCAGAAAGCGAAGGGTCTAGAGTCAAGTACCAGCCTGGATTCAATGACTCTAATCACTAGAATATTAAAATGTAGTACTAAGAAACAGGGGCATTTGAATTCAAGGATGTGAGTTTTTTCCTTCCCTTTCTAAGGGGCTTCTGGAAACAAAGACAAATGTACCCATGCAGGGCGTGTTCTCTTTTCTTCTCATAGGGGTAAAAGCAACATTTGTCAGAATAATGCTTGCTTTACAAGTAGCCACCCAGGCATTAGTCATGAAATTATCTGTAGTAAGGATGGGCTAGAACAGTCAGCACCTTCATACCACAGTACTCCAATAAAACAAGGCTTGTTTATCACTGTTCATACTCTGAAAACAATCTGGGATAGTCTGTTTCATTTACCAACCATGTAACTTCAAGAAAAAAAATACCACTTAGTCCTCTAAAGAGGAAAAACAGTGAAATGTCAAGTGTAGCCCAAGAAACATGGACTTTCAAAGGGGCAGTATGAATAAGTTCACTAACCTGATTTTCAGCTATGTTTTGTTTTTGTTTTTACCACCACGGAATCTAAAGCATAGGGCACTGTTTCTCTCAAACAAACTTTTGTTTTAAAAGTTAACAGCTCACTGGGTGCAGTGGCTTATGCCTGTATTCCCAGTACTTTGGGAGGCCAAGCTGGGTGGATCACTTGAAGTAAGGAGTTTGAGACCAGACTGGTCAATGTGGTGAGACCCCATCTCTACTAAAAATACAAAAAATTAGCTGGGCGTGGTGACGCATGTCTGTAATCCCAGCTACTCAGGAGGCTGACACAGGGGAATCGCTTTAACCCAGGAGGCAGAGGTTGCAGTGAGCCAAGATCTTGCCATTGCACTCTGGCTTGGGCGACAGAGCAAGACTTCCTCTCATAAATAAATAAATAAATAAATGTTAATAGCTTTAAACACAAAGAAAAATAATCTCAAGACCTTCAAGAAAATATTTTTAAAACTAACTGAATGGAAATTACCATATGACCCAGCAATTCCACTAGGGATATAAAAACATATGTCCACATAATTGTGTACACAAACTTATACAACTATTATTCACAGTAGCCAAAACATGGAAACAATCCAAATCCACAAACAAATGTGGTATATTCATACAACAGAATAGTATTTGACACAAAGAAACGAAATACTGATCAATGCCACATTGTGGCTGAAACTTGAAAATATTACGCTAAGTAAAAGAAGCCAGTCACAAAAGACCACATATTGTGTGACAGATACCATTTGTATGAAGCTCTGAACGGGCAATTTACGTGCTATCTACAGCCACTTTCACACTCACACAGCACATCTCTCTATGGATTCACAGAGAACAGAAGTAGATTAATGAGCTGGGGGAGGGGAGAGTGAGGGGGACGCACACTGCTAATGGGTCTGGAGTTTCTTTTTGGAGTAACAATGTTATGAAATTAGAACATTAGTGGTGACCATTGCAGAACTCTGTAAATATATTTAAAACTAATGACCTGCACACTTTATTTGATTTGGTGGATTTTATGGTATGTGAATTATATCCTAATAACACTGTTCTGAAAAAAACCATAGTGAACTTTTCTCTTTTTCTGGAGGACAAAGTCTTGCTTTGTCACCCAGGCTGATGCTATGGCATGATCTCAGCTCACCGCAACCTCTGCCTCCCGGGTTCAAGCGATTCTCCTGCCTCAGTCTTCCAAGTAGCTGGGATTACACACATCTGCCACCACGCCCGACTAATTGTTTTGTATTTTTAGTAGAGATGGGGTTTCACCATGTTGGTCAGGCTGGTCTCGAACTCCTGACCTCAGGTAATCCACCCACCTCAGGCTCCCAAAGTGCTGGGATTACAGGCATGAGCCACTGTGCCTGGCTACTGAACCTTTTTTTTTCATTGCTGAAAATGATATACTCTGTAATTTATATAGTTGCTATTGAGCTATAAAGTAAAAATCTCATTTTGGCTATCAGTTTCTATATAAAGAAAGAAGAATCAGGTTTAAGGAGGGTTTACAGGCCGGGCGCCGTGACTCACACCTATAATCCTAGCACTTTAGGAGGCTGAGGTGGTTGGATCACCTTAGGCTGTAAGTTCGAAAACAGCCTGGCCAACATGGTAAAACCTCAGCTCTACAAAAAGTACAAAATTAGTCAGGCATAGCGGTGTATGCCTGTAATTTCAGCTACTGGGAGGCGAAGGCAGGAGAATCATTTTCACCCGAGGCACAGGTTGCAATGAGCTCAAGTCACACCACTGCATTCCAGCCTGGGTGACAAAAGCGAAACCCCATCTCAAAAAAAAAAAAAAAAAAAGTTATAGATCCCCTTTTGTGATAACTGATTCTGTGACAATTTAAGCTTACTGACAAAGTTTTAAAGTCTTGTGGTCATGGGGAAAATGTTTTTCAGCACAATCTCCAAGGAAACATGTAACAGCCCATTCCAAAACTTTGCTGTGTGGTATATACCATTTATGAAAGCTTAACTGTAGCAACATATACACATTTATATAACAGCACATGAGAGACAGGCGAAAAATACTATTTTGCCCACCTACCCTCAAATAAAAGACAAAGCCATAAATCAGACACAGCAGGACAGGCTAAAGCCACCTACCGCCTGGGTCACTGGGCCTTGCTTCATCTTCGGCGTAGCAGCTATGCTCCCTACAGCCACTGCTTCAGAAACTGAACTTGCTCCGGTATTACTCAGAAAATCCACTTCATCTTCTGCTTTCACGTCTGGCATTTCTGAAAGTGCAGGGAGGTTACAGAGTGCATTTTTAAAAACTGATTCCTGTGCCTTACTAGTTACACAGCATGCTCCAGGTTTCATGTGTTTTGTTTTTGCTTTTTTGTTACAACAGGAAAGTATTCTTTTGCTGTCAAAATAGTGTCATTTCTGACCCTATGCTGAGCTATTCCTTTATCACATGGTTGCTGGTTTTCCCTAGCTTTTGTACCGGCTTGGAACTAAGCGAGGATCCAATTCAATGTTGTTTGAACATCCATCTTACCGTTGACTCTTTATGACAAATCTGAGTGTAGCACCAACTTGCATATGGAAAACTAAATTCACAAGCTTCAGGGGAACAGATTAAACAGTTGAAGCTAGGTAATCCATCCTGGCCATCATCAAAAAGGCAAGAAGGATTGTACAAAGCCAAAAGGAAAAAGTCACTGACAATGAGAGACAAAGCCTCTGGGACAAGTTTTACTTTCACTAACCTACAATACACTCTGATCCACCCATCACTGTAACCAGTAAGACTGAACTACTCCAGGAGTTACTTCTTGTTTTTAACCCCTATTTCTTCCAAAACTGAAACATAATCACAGACTAGCTATCCATTTCTTAAGAGAAACGTTTCTGTGCATGTTTTCTCAAGAACTACTTAGGTGTCCTGTTGCTGGCTATGCTCAACAGACCAAAAACAGTGGTGGTTTTTGTTACTTGACCACCACATGGTCAAGCAAACACAGGAAGGAAGTGATAAATGATGTCTGAGGCAAATTTAGGCTTCTGACACTTCTTTAAAGGGGACTGATGATTGAACAGTCAAAAAATCACTGTAATAATCCAAATCCAAATGGAATTGTCATCTTGATTTCATGTGGAAATGTTCTGTGGTTATTAACCTAGTGATGCCACTACTAGGCAGAGAACAATGCTCTCCACTCTAAAGGGCACAGAGGTTTCTTTCATCAAAGAATAAATTACATTAAGATTTTATTCTAGGCCGGGCGCGGTGGCTCAAGCCTGTAATCCCAGCACTTTGGGAGGCCGAGGCGGGTGGATCACGAGGTCAAGAGATCGAGACCATCCTGGTCAACATGGTGAAACCCCGTCTCTACTAAAAATACAAAAAATTAGCTGGGCATGGTGGTGCATGCCTATAATCCCAGCTACTCAGGAGGCTGAGGCAGGAGAATTGCCTGAACCCAGGAGGCGGAGGTTGCGGTGAGCCGAGATCGCGCCATTGCACTCCAGCCTGGGTAACAAGAGCGAGACTCTGTCTCAAAAAAAAAAAAAAAAAAAATTTTATTCTAGCAGCACATGACAGGTACAAAAGTCTACCTTAAATTTGTAAGAGTTACGTATCTATAGAGGAACCTCTTCTTTCTTTGTCCTTTTAATTATATAATCTTATTAGCAGTTTAGAAATGGGTAAACAAGTTTCTTTGCCCAAGGAACCAAAATCTGTGTTAAATTTCAAAAAATGTTATTAAAGTTAAAATCTGACTAAGCAATCCCCTTAGAACTATCCCTTGATCAAAACATCTCTAAGTGAGTCAAAGTAACTTCTGGGAAGAAAGCAGGTTGCTTTCCTCTGGGGATGTGATTTTTGGTGCATCCTTTCCTACACCTAACAACTTCGAAAAGATGCATCTTGGCACAGCAACCAGTCTTGAAGGGTGTTGGCAACCTCTGCAGGACTGGCGTGGCTCAGTCATGCACCACTGATTTCCTAAGCACAGTGGTCAATGCTTTTGGTGGGTGAGAGGCCATATCCCCTTCTTCCAAACTGGCTCCTTCCAAGTCAGCAGTTAAACCTATGTCTTCTCACTCCTAAAACACTATGATTACATCTATGAATAGAATGTAAACTTGCTAGAAAATACCCTTTGGCTCTGAGATCACACTCAGGTGCTTTTTCTCTATGGCAATGTGACCAGGGATTTTCCCAATCCTGGCCATTTTCTGAAAAAAGCACCGATTTCTTCATGACTGGCTACTGTCTCTGTAATCTAAGACCACGAGTACTGAGTTTCTCTGTAGTTTGAGACCACAAGTATGGCTCCTTTTGGTAACAGGACAAGTAACTCACCTACACAAAATCTGCCAACCCTAAGCCCATATATACTGCTGAAAATTCAAACATTTTTCTTCCTTCTCAAAAACCTCAAAATCCTAAACAGCTATTATTTCTTACCATCTTTACTCTATGTGCTAAAAAAAATCAAAGTATGAAATTCTCCCTGTTTTTTACTTTTTCTCATAGGGTACTGTAGACACAATCCCCACAGGGTTTACACTTGCTTGAGTTAAATTCTGACCACTGAGCCAGAAAGAGAAATGGTTCCAGCCCATGTGGCCAAGGACGCAGCACCCAAATGAAAAGAACATCGCCAGGCATCAGCTTACAGCCACTCCCATTCTTCTGAAATGCCAACCTGCCAGGGCCCCCAAAATAGACTTGTTGTGCCTTTTTTAAAAAATTAGAGACCTTCTCATTTAAATCCTGAGACAACAGCCAACAAATATCTATCACTAACAATTCAAAACATTAATAAAACTAAAAAGCTAAAGTCATCAAAAATTCTCAGATTCCTTTAATCCCTCAACTGGGGAGGAAAAAGATTATATAAATGGCTAAAAGCCCTTTACCAGGGAAAATGACCACTATATTTAAATTGCGCTTCTTCCAAAGCAATTTCCTTTGCTCTTTTTATTCACTTCTCTCCATAACCCTCCCCCATCCTCTTAATACATATGTGTAAAGAGATTTTCAAAATAAGAACAGCAAAAATAAACAATAAAGACAAAACAGGCTACTTCTTACCTACAAAAGCCTAGGGGCAAGCATGGAGCTAGCTCCTCTGTCTACAGCGGCTAACAGGTGGTGGTATAAAAGTGTGCATCAACTGACCTTTAAAGACTTCAGGAGTCAAGATCGTGTCCGACTCGTTTCAGCTTCAGCCTCAACCCCCAATAAGAAGTTTTATTCAAACAGTTTCTTTCCACCGAGCAACAGCGGTTTCTCTGTGCCGTCTCGGAACATGGTTACCCATAGATGGAACAGGCTGCTGTGTGAGCAATCTGCTCAGTGCAGCTGCTTCACCAAGATAAAGCAGACACAAGGTCTGCCCTGTGACAGCAGCTCAGCAGACTGGGCTTGGGCGGAAATCCTGCATCCTATCCCCGGCACCGTGCAGGGTCTTGAATTCCCAGACTGCTCCCCAAATGCAAAAGGCAATGGAACTGGAGGTCTGCTCCCCAAACAGGAAAAGGAAGGAGGTTCCCCGTCAAAAACGCCCCTAGCTCAAAACACACACACACACACACACACACACACACACACACTCCAATGACCTAATACCACCATTTTGGATGTTGGGATGTCAGCTTAGAACAATACCTACAGCTGTTCATGAAACCCCTCTGCCTCTAAATCTGCTCAGAATACAGACTAGGATGATAGGGGACAAAGGGAGTTTCAGACTTGTAAATAAGACACAGCTTTTCAGCACTGTTTTCTATGGTACTAGAGAACAGGACTAAGCCATGTGAATAAAAACATCAGCTAAATTCCTTCATCATTTCGTAGCACCTGTGACCCAGGCACTGTTTTCCAGGTTTGCAATCACTCCAAAACGACAGACGAGATTGTTTATAAGCTTAAGCAATCAAGCAGTAAGTCTACAACACAGGAAGCAAAATCTGTCCAACCCTGAGATGACACGCCTCTCCTGATGGTGGTGACTATTAATGTGGCTACCTACCCAGTGGCTATAAAACATCAAGACAACAAAGACGCCTGCATTTTTACCAGGAGACCACAGAGACTCTTAAGGTAATCGGCTTCTCAGACTGTTAATTTTGTATTATGTTTTGCTTACCTGTTGCTGCCTCAGGCCCTTGCACAGGTAGAATAATCTTCTCTGGCTCCTCCCCTCCAGCAAAACAGCCTCCAAGGCTCCCCCTGGCTTCCTCATGAGTACCGCCCACTGGCAGGCTCTCCCCAGGCGGGAAAGCACTCATCATGTTTTCTGTAGAAGCATTCTCTAGCCCTTCAGTGAGGGGACCCAACTCAGCGCTGGATACTGACGTGTGACGGGCCTTCTCCTCAGTAAGCAGTGCTCCAGTGGCCTTGACTCGTTCGATGACGGCATCCACTATACGGCTGGCAGCCTCCTCTATCAAGTCCACTCCCTTAGGCAAAGGTGCAGCTTGGGCAGAGGCCAAGCAAGGTAGAGAGGGAGTGCTCCTTTCCCTGCCTGAAGGCGGGCCTCGCATAACTTCCCTCTCGCCAGCTGGGGCCCCATTATCATGGGCTGAGAGCCCCATTTCTGTGGGGAGCTCCTTGGCAGCAGGCTGCAGTAGGACAGGATGTGCTTCACTGTCTATCTGGGCTTCCTCAGAGTCGCCCGTGTTACAGCTGTGGTCTGCTCCCTCCAGCTTCCCTTTCTCCCAATTAAGAGGTACCATCTCTGGGGTTCCAAATCCCTGTGGGTCAGTCACAGCTTTGTCTTGTATAGCTACTGGCAAACCCAGGATGACCACCTTCTCTTGGCTCGACAAGACGTTTGGAATCAGGATGTCTTGGGTGTTGTGTGATACACTCTTTCTTCTGGGCTCAGCTGTATCTTGTAGATCATTAAACCCTGTAACATCCACAGCCACATTTCCACTCACCTCACAGGCACTAGCATGAGGTTTTCCCCAGGAGGATTGAGTGTTCTTAACTCCGTCATCCAGAGGAGAAGGTTGACTGCAAGTAAGGGCCTCAGACCCATCAGACCCATCTGGCAACACACATGGCAACAGAGTGGAGCTGTTCTGCTCTGCACCCAAGGCTTCCTGCCTTGAGTTTGTACTCAGACTTGCTCCTGGTAGCACCAGGCTCTGGGAAGCCCCACCTTGAGTTAGCAGTGAGACTTGTGGGGCCACTTCCTTGTTATGTTCAGTTTCTGCCTTAAGACAGGCAGAGGGTGCACCCGGTGAATTACTTAGCTGAAGTGCTTCGTCCTTGGCAGAGGTGGCTGAGATAGATTTTTCATGAAATTGTGGAGTCTCTTGTTGAGGAAGTGGTTCTCCCTGCTCTTCCTGCAATGTTCCTGAAGAAAGAGCATTTTCCTTAATGGAGGAACAGGTCACTGCTTTATCCTTATCTTGTTCCTGAGCTCCAGAGCTTTCTGAAACCACCAGAATTTTTCCTTCTTCAGTCAAAATTGAATCTAAAGCCAAAGTGGCCTTACCCACATTTTGCAGGGAAGAGTCTGTGTCCCCCTTGATACTCAGAACTTCTGGAGCTGCTGAAGGGGCGGGACCCTCATGCTCTCCACCAAGTCCCGTGAGACTGGTATTCCCCATCCTGGGCTGAGGCTCTGCAGCAGTGAAGCATGTGGACAGGCCTGCTGTCCTGTCTTCTAGTGGCTGCGTATCAGGATCATTCGAATCTCCGTCTGGGCCATCTCTACAATATGTAGCCGCATGTAGTGCAGGAGTTGCTGTTCCCTTTTCTTTCTGGGAGGGGACAAAAGAAAGTGCGTCATCCCTGGTTACTGATTCACTGCCTGGACTGTTTGCCAGAAAGAAAGTACGGTCTGATATTACTGCCTGGTCTGGCACCAGTTCGTTCTCCATTTTAGGGACAACTGGATGTGGATGTGAAGGCACCTCAAGCATATTTGTTAAAGGTTTATCGAATCTCACATCTTTTCCTTGGCCTTCGTTATCCATCACTTTCAAAGGACAAAAATCCAGACGTTCCCGGGTATCCCTTACAGGGTCAGAGGTGATTGTATTAGCGTGTGGGTCTTCACAGTGGGCGGCCTTGGGTGGATCTTGTGAGTTGGGTTGCCTTGCTGCGGTGCTTTTGGGCTGGCTAACTATATTATCACACAGTTGTGCAACCAACTCGCCACTAGAAGTCACTGTGTTTTGTTGACACGCGGCGTCTGAGCAAAGTTTATCTTCTCCAGTTGTAGAACAAATGGGTGAGGATTTGCCCTTTTGGATTCGAGCCTGAGATGAATTTGTTTCTGAGTTCTGGTGTGGCATTACATCTACTTCCAGCCCGGGAAGGGCTAAATCTGAGGGTGACGTTGCTTCACCGATGCCTGCTAAGACAGTGCAAGGTTCTAATCCACCTGGAACCTTGTCTTCTGCAGCAGCTGGAAGCACCACAGAATTCTGGTCTACTGCGGCACCAGCACTCTCCTCACAACTTCGTGAAGCTTCCGTTTCTGCTGTTTTTTCAATGGAGGTTTCCTCATTACTAAATGCAAGGGAAGATTCAGCAGGTTTGCTACCACCCAGGGAACTGGTGGCAGAGGCACAATTTGGAACACTGACTTTATCCACAGGCTGACTTGTGACTTGCACGTCAGAGGCTCCAGCTGTGCCAATATTAGCGTTCCCTAATCTTTCCTTTGTCCTTTCCCCTACTGGAAGCACATGCGTCTGGACAGTGGCATCTGGGTTCGTGAGCCCATGTTCCGCTTCTCCTGCACTCTCTGGGGTACCAACATCTGTTGTTAAAACGCCTGCCAGCTCACCTGCAGAGGAATACCGGGCTGTGCCTGGCTCCATGACCACGTCTCTCTGCAGCACAGCATCTCCACTGCTCAAAGACTCCTGATCTGTGGGCATTCCAGAAGGTTTTGTTACAGTTTCTTCATTTTTGTTTCCACAAGACAAAAGGCCTTTCGTGCCCTTTACTCCGCAATCAGGCGAGCTCTGAAGGCAGCTGTCTTGATCAGACACAGCTCCAGAGTCCACAATAGGTGCTGGCCCCACCTCTTTCCCTTTTCTTTCCATGCCTTTATTTTTCTTCCTACAGGAACAGTCTGTATTCTCCTCCTCAACTATGCTTGAAAAATCACAGGGACTTTCAGTCTGTGCAACAGAGCTCCCTGGGCAGCACTGAGTGCTGTCGGTCTCTTCAGGAGAAGAAAGTTGCTGAGTGTCCATGGGCTCTGGTGCACAGGGAAGAAACTGGCCATCTGTCTCTGGGGCACCAGAAGGATCCTGTGCTGTCACCATTAAGGCCTTAAGATTGTCCATCTGCTTCAGGTTTGTTTTCTAGAAGGAAATGAAATATACTTTTAAAAAACTGTCCGTAGGAGAAGATGCCACCGATACCTCTGAGCAAAAATCCTGTTGGACATAACTCACTTCCATTCTAGCCCTTCGAAGGTCACATGATAAGTTGATCTAAGAGAATACAAATAAATTTTCTCTTATTCCTGATAACTACTTTTTTCTCTCATTTCTGCCTATACATTAGGATGTTCAAAATGGATTAGAACATATGAAATTTATATTTTCTATATTTTGAATTCATTTTACAAAGTAAATTAAAATTGAGTCTCAAAAACCTTTTTTTTAAAAAAAAGCTGAGTAAGTATCTTCAAATGAGCAGCTAACATTAAGGTGAGATCTCTCATTCTGAGGCCAGGCTGAAGTGCAGTAGTGCAATCATACCTCACTGCAGCCTTGAACTCCTGGGTTCAAGTGACCCAGCTGCCTCAGCCTCTTGAGTAGCTAAGTCTACAGATGTGCACCATCACACCTGGCTAATTGTTTTATTTTTTGTAGAGAGGCGGTCTCACTATGTTGCCCAGACTGTTCTCTAACTCCTGAGCCCAAGGGATCCTCCTACCGGGGCCTCCCAAAGTTCTGTGATTACATGCGTGAGACTGTGTCTCGCCTATATTTTTCAGTCTTCAGAGGGGCAGAGCCTACTTTCACTCTGCCTCATACATACAAGGGAAAACAAATCATAGCTCTTTTCAGTTACAAGGTACAACCAATGCTCCTGTGCCCTAAATACTTACTGAGGAGTTACTTGGTGTTCTTTAAGCCCCCAAAATATGCTCCAACCAATCTAACTTAACCATCTGAGTCAGGAACAATGGCATGGCAGATATACTTTCACCTTTTGATAAAATCAGAACATATTGAATATAAAATAAATAACACATATGTATATATTGTCAGAGTATACTATGGATACTCTATGTCATCTCAAAAACAGATTTTGCAACTTTAAAGTATTTTAAAACAGAAACAGATACAACCAACACTACGGGAGTGGTTAAGAAAATCATGGTTCATAAACCTGATGGAAGAAATCACTAAGTATAAGGACTATATTGCAATCAGAAAAAAATTATTAATTTAAGTTTATGAATATGCAAAAATCCCATGAGCATGTAGCAAGATTTAGGAAAAATTGAGAAAAACAAATACAGCTGATCTTTAGTGAATTTACCTTTATGTCAAAATTTCAAGAATTCTTACAACAACACTACTACTTTCTCAACTTCTAAAATCTATTTTTCCAAACATCTGGTTTGCTCTCCACTCATTACCTGATCTGCTGCAATAATATGTGTATCTACTGCCATCCATCCTCTCATTCACCTCCTCACTCAGTGAATATATTGGGCATTTACAGGGTTCCATCATCAGACTATTCCTATCTACCTACGGGGTCTCTTGTAAAAGTTTATACGTACAAGTGTAAAACGTGTCATGCTTGTTAAAGTCTGTTAGCGTGTACAAGCAAGGACTTTCACTAAAAGCTTCTGTGTTATGCTTCTTAAAAGTATTCAAAATTAGCTTATTTCCAATCCTGCTGGGAGTACGACAGTCTCCTAAATATCAGGAAAGCAAGTCATTCACTTTAATAAATGGTAAACATTATAAAACAGATGTGGATAAATAAGCAGTACTGACTGAAGAACGTAACACATGTATGTTCCCACAGTTTTAATTTCTCATATTTGCCTGCCAACCATTCCCGTATCTTGGCAGGTGGCGTGGGCACCTGCAAAACGATATTTTCAAGTGGACTACCATTCACCGAGGAAAAAAAGCTCTAAGGTAAAATCTGATTGCCTAGCAGTCCACTCAGAGGAAAATAAAATGTCACTTGCTCTGGAACGAACACAATTCTAATACACAAAAGTAGGAGCATCACATAACCCTATGAAATTTCTTGGCTTGCTGGTCTCTAATAATGCATGTTCCCAAAGAAGCCTTTGGCACTGAGCTGACCTTGAAAGAAATTATTGTCAAGTGGTTTCCAAATCAATTAGCTCTAAAATAAACTGGGTGGAAAAATTACCTAAACATGGTCCTTCAGATGTTATGGCCAAGAGAGATACACACATATGACGTTTATATGATTTGTAATAAATGCTAACAAGGAGTCTGTAATGTTTTTATGTCTGGCAACAACTTCATCTTGAAGACTTGAGTGGATTATAAAATCTTTTTGTTTTTTTTTTGTTTCTTAGTGATCTTCATACCATACAACTATTGATTTAAATATAGTAACACTATATTTAAATGGTACATATCATTGCTCACTAAAATAGTTGTAAAAATACTCCTGATTAAATTTGGTTCTTGTTCTTTGGCAACAATCTCAGAAACTGTTTTGCTTATTTCATTTTGTAAAGTTAAACCAAACAAAGACAAATATTCTTTTATGCCAGGATAATTTAGTTCTAGTTGTTGCATATTTCTGTACCTGAAATGTGTGTCTTTTGTTATTCCAAAAATCAATGCAGAAAGCCTCTCAGTCCCCTTACTACTACAACCCTAACACCAGTTCTGATCTGTTAAGTGTGGTAACATCTAATACAGCTAATACCGCTTTACAGATTCACAATCTTTGGGTAAAGTCTTTTTCTGTTTCTGAGACAGGGTGAGTGCAGTAGTGTCATCTTGTCTCACTGGAGTGCAGTAGTGTCATATTAGCCCACTGCAACCTCTGTCACCCAGGCTCAGGCCATCTGCCTGTGTCAGACTGCTGAGTAGCTGGGACTACAGGCATGCACCACCATGCCCAGCTAACTGCTGTATCTTCTGTAGAACTAGGGTTTCTCCATGTTGCCCAGGCTGGTCTTGAACTCCTGAGCTCAAATGATCCACCTGTGCCGGCCTCCCAAAATGCTGGGATTACAGGCGTGGGCCACTGTGCCCAGCCAGGAAAGTATTTTTATGTTCTAATTATACCAAGGTTCACTGGAGGAAGGTAGGGACACACATACAAAACACATCCATACACACGCACACACTTAAAAATTAAAGCTTTCTGACTTACCGTTAGTTGCTGTTGGATGTTCATAAGTTTAAAAATGTGTCCAGTGTAACTGTCTTCAGGAAATGGGTGTTCATGTGATTCAGACTCAGAGGTTAATGTATAGATGTCCAACTCCCGATGATGCCTCACAGAACAGTCTCCATATGGTATTTCATAGGATAAACTGCTCCAGGAGTCTGGTTCTCTAGCATTCTCCCTACACGCAAGCAATCTCTGGTTAGAACATATATTCTGCCTCCCAGGCATAGGCTTAAACTTCTAAATCTTACATCCTTTTTCTAACCTAAATGTTCTTTGAGGTCCTACAGCAAAAATTAGTATATATATCTCCCAAACGATTCAGTCATAAAACAAACAGCTCCATCCTCCTCAAAGGGATTACAAACGGGTTAAAGGAAAACTACAGGACTCCTCCCTACCTAATGAGGTTCTTTAGATCAAGATAAAGAGATGTCTGGGATCTAGTAACAGTTAATATTATGCTAACAACCAAGTAATGAGGAAGTCCAAGAAACATGATTTTCAATAAAATCAAGGCTTATTAAGAGGCGCTCTTAAAATAAATTAGACCATATGCTAACTACAGTTGAATGGGAAGAGAAGAACCACTCACTACAACCCTTATAAGGGCACTCCAACTTTTCAAACAATAGGTGGAGAAAACCCCCTCAAGATTACTGAAGTCAATTACACAGAGAAAAACTGTGAATGATGCCATATTGTACAACACTGGTCAGTACAATTATCACATCATATTTGGAATAAGGCACTTGGTTCCAAGAACTTAAAGATTTTTAAAATTTAAAAAACAAGCACATTTGGTCAACTCATACCATTATAAACATAATATAAGAACTTTCCACTATTATAAGCCAACTGATTTGAACAAGGCAAGTGGATTTCTCCTCTCAAGGCCACAACACCTCCAATTCCACCCTTGCTTCCAGAAAGCATACCCACGCCCTTGATGCCTGCTGTGATACAATCCATAATCTGCACTGTTTATTTGCAGAAGATGAAAGAATCTTGGGGCATACAATAAACAGGGATAGGGTAAGAATTACTCAACAACTGTATTTAAGCACACATTTCAAGTGCTAAGCAGCCTCTTCAGCCTCTTCTACATTTAGCATAAATGTAAATGTCTGAAACCTCAATCGTTGGGGTCACTATTCTTTATGGTTAGTTTGACACACAGTATGCTGTACAGAGTTAGAGATTTCTGGGTACAAAACTTTATTTCCTAGCTATGTGTGAGGCTAGACAAATAACTCTTCTGAGCCTTAATTTCATAATGTGCAAACATGGATATTATAATCCAAGTACTGTTTTGAGAATTAAAGAAAATGTGCATTAAAATCTCAATCTATGGTGTTTGCCAGAGAAGCCACACACAGATGCTGCCTGTTCTTCCACTTTCTACTCTTTGATTCATTTAAAAATAAGTCTTAGTAAGCCTTCCCTTCTTAAAAGTAGAAAATGTTTCTACTTTTTTCTACTTTTCTACTTCTATCAGAAAATCCTATTTTCTCTGAAAGCTTTAAATACAATGAAAACAATCCTCAAATAGCATTCTGATGAGGTGTCTAGTAGCTCAAAGATCAGGCACAATAATAGATTATGCTTTCCATCAACCCTTTCCTCCTTATCTGAAATGTTCTTTTCCTTTCCTTACAACATTCACATCTTTGAACATACCGTATCATATTTTATTTTATCGTTTTTTTGAGATGGAGTCCCACTCTGTCACCCAGGCTGGAGTGCAGTGGTGCAATCTCGGCTCACTGCAACCTGACTCCTGGGTTCATGTGATTCTCCTGCCTCAGCCTCCCAAGTAGCTGGGATTACAGGCACCTGTCACCACGCCCAGCTAAGTTTTCTTTGTATTTTTAGTAGAGACATGGTTTTGCCACATTGGCCAGGCTGGTCTCCAACTCCTGACCTCAGGAGTCCCCTTACTGCTACAATCTTAATACTAGTTCTGATCTGTTAAGTGTGGTAACATCTAATACTGCTAATACTGCTTTATAGGTTTCATAGTCTTTGGGTAAAGTCTTTTTCTGTTTTTGAGACAGGGTGAGTACAGTAGTGTCATCTTGGCTCCCTGGAGTGCAGTAGTGTCATCTTAGCTCACTGCAACCTCCGTCTCTCAGGCTCAAGCGACCTGCCTGGGTCAGACCGCCAAGTAGCTGGCGCTACAGGCATGCACCGCCAGGCCTGTTGTTGACCTCTCCAACTCCTGATCTGCCCACCTCAGCCTCCCAACCCATATCATACTTACTATAATCCCCACCAAAGCAAACGACGGATTGGTGAAATATCATTGAGATTCTGGGAGGGAGGTTATATTTGAGATTATATTTTGAAATTGAAAAAACTGAAGAATTAAGAAATTATAGACATGCTATCTAGCCACTGAAAAATATGATAAAGATTACTTCAACTCTCTCTCCAGAGACTGTTCTACTAAGTCATACCTGTCTGTCATTAACAACTCAGCGGGGACTAACTGGAATTTTAAAGCTAAAAATACACTACAGTGGCAGCCATAAAAAAGGATGAGTTCATGTCCGTTGTGGGGACATGGATGAGGCTGGAAACCATCATTTCTCAGCAAACTAACAGAGGACCAGAAAACCGAACACCACGTTCTCACTCGTAAGTGGGAGTTGAACAATGAGAACACATGGACACAGGGAGGGGAATATCACACACCAGGGCCTGTAGGGGGCTAGGGGAGGGATAGCATTAAAAGAAATACCTAATGTAGATGACAGGTTGATGGGTGAGGCAAACCACCATGGCATGTGTATACCTATGTAACAAACCTGCATGTCCTGCATGTATTCCAAAACTTAAAATTAAAAAAAAAAAAAAAGCGACAGTGGAGAACTTATAAGGCAATGGAAAATCACATACTGGCTGAGGGTAATAACAATTAAGTGTGCTCCAAAAAACTACTATTGCAATTTCCATACCAAAGAGTGGCTCCCCAAAAGCAGCTTAAAATAAGAATGGCATGTGCTATACTCAATGTTTCATGTATTTAAGCTGCTCTACTCTCAGTAAAATGACCTCAAACAGAAATGCACTTGCAAACACTCTCAACAGTTCAAATGACTCAAGAAGTCAAATAGTAGGGAGACAACTTCTAATTTTAGCTTTCAAGCCTAGCCTGACACCGTCACTAACATGCCTAATTGTGTGGCAGACATTACCAGCATATCTGCTTAGTAAGATTATCATATACAGCCACATTCCAACAAAAACAACCTCTGAAAACAAAACCTGCAGAATGTTTCTGCAACTTTAGGCATAACAGCATTAAAAACTGGAGGCAACCTATCAGCCAGTAACTGGAGCGCTAACTGGTGAATCAGCCAAGGCAGGAGCAATTAAAAAGTGACAAAAAAGAGTCCATTCTCTGCGAAATGGAGTAGTCTACCAACCTCGCCACTACTCATTCTCAAAATCATTCCATTTCTAATATCTAAGCCTTGGGAAATTCCTTTCTCTAACCACAGCCTACTTACCTTCTACCTCTCCCACTCTCACCTTCCAGAGGAATGCGCCTTTGTTGTCACAATTACCTCCAGGTGCTAACCCTTCAATCTCCCAATTCCTGTCCCTGTGGATTTTTGCTGGTGCCTCCTCTCCCTCTAGATACTAAAGATTAGTCAATGCAATTATTTTTTCAGTGGCTTCCATGAATATCCGTCGCTACTGACACTCTTCCAAACCCATTTCGCCCACAGGTCTGGGTAAGTCCCATCATCCGCTCATTCACCAAGTATGTATATGCCACTTAAGGTGCTGGTGACCTGAACCGAAATCCCTGTTCTGTTGAATAAAGGGGACAACAGCAATCAAGCTGAATAAGTAAAACAACTAGAAGATAGCAAGTACTATAGAGATGAAAGCAGGCATGAAGGTTGTAATTTTAAATGTGGTGGATCAAGGGAGGCCTCATTAATGTGACATTTCAGAAAACACATTTCCTGCTCTGTGTTACCACTGTATAAAACCCTTACTGGGTCCATTAATACAATCTGGCAAAACTCTGTATACATAAGAATGTTTCTGCAACTTTAGGCATAACAGCATTAAAAACTGGAAGCAACCTAATCAGGCAGTAACTGGGGTGCTAACTGGTAAATTAAAGAACAGATCTATAAACTATTGCCATAGCTATTAAAAATAACTGAAATAAAAATTCAGTAACATTGAAATCTACAAAGTTCTGTGAAATAGCAAAATTTTTAAAAACGTACGTTAAGTCTAGACCGTAAAATGTACCAACATAGAAAGTATCAGGGTGGTTGAGATACACAAATTTTCCTCTTTCTCAAGATTTTACCAATGTTTTTAATAATTGCTTCAAAGGCCCGATTCAGCCAGGCCTCAGTGCTGCTCAGTAATGCGTTTACTCATTGGTATACTAATCCTCACCCACTGGGATTACTTAAAAGTTTACATAATTTCCTCCAAACATTAACCTTACCTTCTTCATTCTCAAAAGACCTTTTCTCCTTTCTTAGTGATAAGCTTGAAGCCATCTAATATGAGCCAAAACAAC